TAAGTAATTTTGATATAGTTCTCTCAGGATCCGCAACGTTGAAAAAAAAGTTTTATTAAAGGTTTATGATAGTTTTATCTCGCTTTTGTTTATTTATGTACGTTTAGGTATAAAGATAGAAAATAAGGTATACAACTGTGAATTTTCAGCGATGATGAGGAACAATTCGACCGCGCGATTTAATTAATTACAAAATACGAAAAAGAATTATCTGAATACTGACGATGGAAAAACTTTTACACTTTGTATAGCCAATGTAAGTGCGTGCTCCTATTGCACCATGCCTCCTGCTGATAGAGGACATATCTTTGTTTTTAATTTATTTTATTATTATTTATTACTTAAGATGTCATGTGGAAGATGGTGTAATGGTTGTAGCTCCTTACAAACGTTGTGTAAAAAAACTTAGCGATTGAAACGAGTGGCGGAGAGTTTATTGCCAGTTCTTCTCTTTCGTTCTACGCCCTTGATTTGAGAACTGGCAGTAAATGTAAAACTAGAAGCATTTAATGTATATTTATTTTTTGACGTTCATAAGTGTACTTTGTGTTACCTATATGAATAAATGATTTTTGACTTGGACTTTGATGGCCAAGATCAAGAGCTGAAACCCCACTGGTTTTATTCACTCATTTATTTATGGCATGCTATCCTAAAATAAACCTCATTCAATCATTGTTATACGTAATAAAAAATCGACTGACGTTCTTATCGCTAAAACACCCCATATAACAAGCTACATCCCGCCTTCGCTGATCCTCATTATTCTTCGATGTTTGCTCATTTGTTTGCGCCGTTAAACGTGTTATGGAAATCGAATAACGCTGGGAAATGAGCCTGCTTCTTACGCTGTGTATATTTATTTAGTGTATCGGTTGTAATAGGGATAAAGTGGAGTCTTGTCGTGCGAGCGTTGAGTACAGACCTATCTACCTACAAATTAAAAACTACAAAATATAAGTAGGGTGCGTTGTTGAACAGTAAACCAACCTTTATTCTAAGTCATATAACTTGTAAGAAATTAAAGTTAAGAATTTCGTTTTGGTGTCATGGTTTAGGCAATTTTATACAGAATCTCATATTCAGGTTACAGAAAGCCAGAGAAAAAAAATAAGACCGTAAATTAAGGTTTAAAAAAAAAACAAAAATTGGCTCACTGTGTACTATAGGGAGTATACACTGAACCATCTGTATTTCAACAGTGAACCACAATGTCGTTACCAGTAAAAATCCTTATTTGTGAAAAGACACCATAATATTTTTGATAATCGCCTTTATTTTTTGTTGTACAAAATACAATAAAAAAGTATTAATTCTAATAACAAAAAAAAATGGTTTTCTATGGTAATAATAATAATAAATTTTAGCTCCTGTTGGAGCCACAACTCTCTGTGGTTTCTGGACGGTTGTTGTGCCGGTTTCGTCAAGATTAAATATTCGAGTTCCATCCACGAATCTAGGCTCCCGTTTTAGCAATTCCTCCAAATTATTAGAAAATATTGCCACAGCTTCCCGATTGAATGAGGTAGCTCGTGCGAGACTTACAGCTTCTGTTTTTTTACTGAAATATCAGGATGTCTTTTTTTAAATAAGCGAAACCATCCCAAACCTGACATTTTATCCCTTTCCCATGAGCTGGGTATTTCAATGCCATTAACCTTTGCCATTTCGTAAGCCACCTTCCTACATTCTTTGATGGTCAAACCGTAGAACATTAGTGCACAGTCTTTGTAGTATTTTAATAATATTTGTTCGTGTTCTTCAGTAAACACTTTATTAATATCATACCTCGGTTCAAGTGATATATTATCACCATGTTGACGTTTTTTTTAACGTAACGGCGCAATGTAGGGTAGGGAATTTTACTGGTTTTTGCCGCCGTCCTAATGGAGCTACCATTTTCTATCATTAGTAATGCTGACATCATCCTCTTTATTGTGTTTTCCAATTTTTCTTTCCTTATTTCTTGGCCTTGGCATCCTAAAACAATCAAAAATATTATTGATTTTCAGCATACCACTATCATTGAACAGTGAACCAGGATCGAAAGGTTCACTGTTCAATACACACACTATTCAACATATAATATTAAAAAAAAATAGGTTGTAGGCTAAATTGTCACAAAGCAATATGCTCATAAAACGTCTAAAACTACAACAATATCGACACCATAATGCTTTTGGTGCTGGAATTAATAACAAAATATATAAAAATCTAGATACTTACGTGAGAAATCTATGTTTTTTTGGCGAGAAACAAACAAACCGCTGTCATACGTCACACTTAAGCCGCGGCCACCGGCTAGCTACGGGAGAGGGGAAGGGTGCCTACGAGAGAAGTTTTAACATGATCGGTCGAATTGACAACCTCGCAGTTTTTTCAACATGGTGGTGGTTCAATGTTCCTGGTTGGTTCACTGTTCAACAACCGACTATACCTACATTTAAAAAAAAACTAAAATTGTTTTACCCAATAATAAGAATATTGTTATTGTATAGCAATGGTGGTTAAAAAATGTTATAAGTGCAAGAAAAATATAACAAAAAAGTCGCCGGGGATCGACTGCAGTAGATGCAATCGCATTGTCCATGGTGATCCTGTTTGTGCGAAGCTATCCAACAAGCAGCTTAACGCCCTTCGAAACTCATCAAGCATCGAATGGAGCTGTGATGAATGCCAGAAGAATGTGTCGCGCAGATCATCCTTCATCACTCCCAATGATGACTCTGATGACGAGGATGACGAAGAATCGGAACCGAAGGAGCAAGTTAATATATCAAACCTGAATGTGAAACAACTTGTTGCTGACATAAGCAGAGAGCTTAAGAAAACTTTTAAAGCAGAGATGGGTCACATCGAGTCCTCTCTAAACTACTTGTCGGACCAGGTGACGTCAATGGAACAGTCAATAAAGACCCAGAAAGAAGCTATTACAAAACTTGAGAACAAAAATTACGATCTCCTAAACAAAAACAAAAATTAAGAACTGAGGGTATGTGCTGTGGAGCAGCAACTGAGGTCATTGGAGCAAGGGAAACTGGGTGATACGCTGGAGGTGGCGGGTCTCCCGGATACTACGCCGGGACAGTTGAAAAACGTTTTGGAAGTGTTAACAGGCAAGCTTGAGGTTGATAATGCTGATATTAAGTCAACCCAGTGGTCAAAAGGAACTAATGAAAGACCTGGACTACTACTAATAAAATTGAACTCCAGAACTATGCAGCATCAATCCATCACCGCAAGTAAAGCTAAGTGTATAACATTAGGTCAAATATTACCAGAGGCCCCAAATGAGATCATCAATAATAGGATCTATGTGAGAGAAGCCTTGACAAAACACATTAAAACTATTTTATACAAAACTAAATCCAGACTCAACAAGTCATATAAGTTTATATGGTGTAAAGATGGAAAAGTCTTTGTGAGAAAAACCGAGGAGAGTAAAATTCATCAGGTTAGATCCCTAGAGGACATCCTTAGACTAGAAAAAACACCTGTCTTTTCTACACCTATATAAAAAAAAATACTAATTTTAAGTGTTTGTCATAATTTGTAAATATGTAAATATCATTTATTTTGATAAAAATGTCACACGCTAAACGATTTTATTTTTTGTCTCTTCAATGTCCTTGATTGATGAAGATGTATTTTAATGATTGAACCTAGGAAAAACCTAATAATTTTTAAGCTTTTAATAGATTGTCTACATAGTTTTATTCTTTAGTATAATACGTTAATTTAAAAAAAATACTTTTTTTATGTTGTAACTGTATGTTGTGTTTAAATAGATATTCCATATTTGGCTTTTATGTATTGTTTCATAGTATTAGAACTTCATATTAATTCAATTTAAATTCATACTTGTAGCCAACATTTTTTACGGCCAATCAAATAATATGCAATGCAATTGGTTATGAATTCTTACTGTTTATAGATGTTTCATTAAAGATGTCACACGTCTGTGAAAAGAAATAGTTTTGATTTTCAATAGGTAGGAAATATCTATATATACATATAATATATATAAACCAACATCATCTTGATGGTTGGAGGTCTTCCACAGTCCGTTTCACAAGGCATTTTCTTTTGCGAACTGTGGAATCGACTCCCGGTGTTTAAAAATCGAGTGTACTCCTCCCTCACAACCCACTAAAAATGGGTGTCTATGGGCTGAGAAGACTGCCCTTTTTGGTCGTCCCGCAAGCTCGTTTGCCCCCCTATTATATGAAACATTTTTCTTTTTAAATGTTAAGATTTAGTTATGTTTTATTTCAGACATTAATCAAATTGTAGACTATATTATATTTGTTGTTTTATTTATAAATGTTCTTATTTGTTTTACATAATTAATCCATAATAATCTCAAAAACACTAAACTATACACTTTAAATACACACATTGAATCACTGTGCAATGGAAGGCTAATATTAACATTAAGGTAATTAACATAGTTCTGTTTAAGAAGAACTTAATTAAAATTCAAAAAGAAAAACTCGCGTAGAAAATAAAACGTCTAAATAAATAAAAGAGCAGTTTTAGGGTTGCCGTACACACAAACTGTAACGGGTAAACTAAATTTTGATTGTAAATACTTATAAAAATATTTTATAACCACTATAATCGATAGCGGATTAAGCATATAAAACTGAAACTTTTTTAATGGGACTTGGGTATACGAGCAGGCGGGGGTTCACAGAATATAGTGCCAACCGCCGGCTATGGCAAGGTCAGGCAAGGTTGTATGTTTGGCTACTTGGATTTGGAATTCCTAAAAACCTCCAATTGCTCACAAAAGCACATGCGACGTCATGCTCATGATGTTTTTTATTCTTATTATTTTATAATAAAACTTAGGTGAGAATTTAAAAATAACCACAACGAAATAATTCCAGATCCGGTCCATTCCATCTGCACCACCTAAGGTTATTTTCTATCCATTTCCTTATGCAGCCTAGCGAGTTATGGATCGGTTTCCGTTAACGCACGCGGCTGCTGTTTTTTTGGCTGTTCGGTTGGCTCGTTTACACATAATATTTCATTGTATTATGCTATTTTTCTAATATTTTTAGTTATAATTTGGCGTATGTATGCTCTAAATAAATATAGAAATAACTCTTCCTTATCTTATTATTATATCGTCCTACAAAGTTGTTTGCTTCGACTTGTACGTATATACATATACTAGCTGTACCCTGCCATGCTTAGCTGTGGTACATTGTGATTGAATGGTTGAGAAAGGAGAAACAAAACAAAGAATACATTTCATATAAGTTTAATTTTGCAATACTTGTGGGAAAAAAAAGAAAAAAAAACGAAAAAAAAATTGATTAAAAAATAGATAAAAACAATCCTTCATGCGGATTTATTTTTCAGTTAGCTATGAAAGAAATCTAGTCTATTGACACTATAATTTTCTTTGTTATCTATACTTGTATATGTTATAAAATTTAATTGCACAATTGTGTATGTTTGAAGATTTCTTGAACGTCTAAAATAATGCAGTGTCTGTTGTGATCTGAAGATGTTTTTTTCAAACGAGCAAGTATTAATTGCTCACATGTAAGTAAAATTGATTGGTACACACAACCAGGGTTTGATATCACACACGTAACAACTTACATATGGTCACGTGCTTGCATGATTTGCTTTTATCTTTATAATGAAAGCTTGAAATCTTCTTAAAGGCTTAAAGGCGAGAAGCCTTTGAACTAATTACTATACAAAGTCGCGTGATTGTTAATACGTAAATACGTTAATTCGTACATATAGGAATGGAATAAAACTAGCCTTGTTCCTAGGATAATAACATAAAGAGACTAATAAAAACTAAAGCAGTTATTATTTAAAAAATATAGCATAGTTAAAAAAAAATTGGATAATGATTAGATTGGATTTGAGGGAGAATTTTGCTCTATTTTTAAAACTATTGACACTCGTTCAGTTCGCTAGCTCAGAAGAAAATGTTTAGGGAATCGGACCGTGGTAAACTCCCAGCCATCAAGGTGATGAGGATGAAAGTTTGAGTTAATACGGTTCGTACGTTAAAACGAGGAGGTGTCAACCCAAACAACCCTTTAGAACCCTCTCCATAGTACACTTTAAGGAATACGCTGAGAGACGTAATGTCTCTGCGTAGAGATGTGGTTGAAATCTTGGCAAAGCTGATGGACACAATATGCCGATTGCCTACATGCGTTCTAGTGTTCAAATAACTAAACTCAAACTCAAACTCAAAATATCTTTATTCATGTAGGTAAATAAGTACACTTCATAGTTGTCAAGTTAAATTAATTGTAAATTTACTACTAGTTCGCAAGTCAAGGGCGTAGAGCGGGTAAGAAGAACTGGCAAGAAACTTTCCGCCACTCTTTTTAATCGCCAAGTATTGTTACACTATATATGCCTAATTGTGTGTGTGTCATCGGATTGTTAATAACTTCATTATAAACTAGCTGTACACTGTAGTTCCAACCACAATAAGTCGGTCGTAGCATGATGTTCAGCCTTCCTCGGTAAATTGATTTTTAATATATTTTTCTACACATGGGATGTAGATAATGATGTCTTCTATAAAATTACACCACTTTGCTTTATTATTTATCAATAGTTCCCGAAGCATACGTGACACAGTGATTTTCTGGGAATAGAACCGACTTAAATGTAAAAAAATAACACCCCTACTTTTATGATGACAATCGAAAGAATGGCCAAAACCTAAAAACTCTTTTTAAGTAACATAGTATTTTAAAAGAAAGGAACAGCTTGAAATTAATCCCAGACGAGGCAAGTAATCTTTGAATACAGAATAACTAACTTTTAAAAATAACATAGTCTTTTTTCAGTAAAATACCCTATCTACGATATTTAAGGTACTTTCCCTTCATGTCCCATAATTTTGGGACGCTCTGTATATTCAGAGATAGTGAAAAGTTGTAATGAAAGAATTTTTCGGTCCAGTAGCTTTGGAGCCTATTCAATGCAAACAATCAAATCAACAATATTTTCGAAATTGTTGACGAGTTGTGTGTACGGTGAACCTACTGTCGACTCTCAAGTTTCCAGTTTTAATTTAGAAAGTGTTTCATCTTTTTTAATTCAAGTGAGTGCGGTGCAGTTTTCACGCCGTTTTTACTTAGTATATTAGTTTTTTATGGATTAAATGGCCGTAGGTCAACAGAGCCAAATTATTTTTCGCAAAATTTTGTTCGCTAACATTAGTCTTAAGAAACCTTAAACTAAATGAGGAAAAATGTGCAGGCAACACATAATACATAACAAATAGGCTCATGTTATACATAATGGACTTGAGATCCATTATAATAGGGTTAGAAGAGCAGTAATACCATTTAACATGTTTTTTTTTTTTTAATTATTGTAAATCAAGTTGTATAATTATTTTAGTGAGCAGTGTTGGTGTAGTGGCTTCAGCGTGCTACTCTCATACCTGAGGTCGTAGGTTCGATCCCCGGCTGTGCACTAATGGACTTTCTTTCTATGTTCGCATTTAACATTTGCTCGAACTGTGAAGGAAAACATCGCGAGGAAACCGACATGTCTTAGACCCAAAAAGTCGACGGCGTGTGTCAGGCACTGGAGGCTGATCACCTACTTGCCTATTAGATTTAAAAAAATAGGCATGAAAGAGGTTGTAGTGCCACTGATTTATTTCTTATTTATTTTATCAACACCATCCTCTGAAATTTTCTGTCTGCCCTGAAAATTTTGACCTATTCAGTGAAATGGAGCAAATCGTTATCTGTGTCAAAGGCGAAATATAAAATTTACGGCTTTCTTTGAAGTCGAGCTTCCACTGTTATGAAAAATGGTCAAACGTTTAATTTAAACTTGTTAAACATGAACTTATATTCGTTTATTCAATGATACGTTCCTCATTTATCGTAAATTAAAGAAGCTAAGAATATCTTGTTTAATTATTTGACGACTACCATTCTTAACTGGAATCTGATCCACAATCTACTACAATCTACAATTATTCTACTTAAAGTCAGGCTACATCAGTATGCACAGTAGTACTGTAGTAGAAAATTCTAACGCATTGGTTCACACCACGCCGTTTTTCCCCTATTATGCTATACTAACAGTCTAATAATCCATAATTAAACATATTCTAGTTTATATCAGCCAAGATTTCTCGTTTAAACTTTTTTCTTCTAAAACCGCTTTTGTTCGGAACTCTATACATTATAAACTTCGTATTGGGAAGAAAATAGTATAGCGAAGAACATAAACTTGAATGAATACAAACTTTATGAGATTCACACATGGCGTACTTTGTATTCATGTGAAATTGTATATTATGCATTGATTTTTCTTTTCTAGTGCATTTGTACGGTACCAGTATACTCGTATAATACAATTAATGCATTTCTGCTTTTAGTTATAAATTCATCTAGAGAGAAAATAAATAACATGTTTAAATAAATATTGGTTTTCATTATTTTTTAGTCATATTATATAATAATAATAATTTATTTATTGCAGGAACATGGTCCAAAA